CTTAAAGGGCTATGTCAGTTATAATAATAATAATATCTTTCAATTTATTAATCGCTTTCCCCACAAGTGGGCTCAAAGTAATTTACAGTTACACTTTAGACAGGGGACTAACAATGTTTTTCATAGGGGATAGGAAAGACAACATATAATTCATTTTAATTGCACACGCCGTAACTGCACGGTGGAAACGTCTCTGGCTTGGATCAGTCATGTCCCGAACGGCTGCGTCGACCGGCTTGATGATGTTGGGGCGTCGGGACCCGTATGTCGTATCAACAGCACCTCTGGGAGATATGAGGACTTTGTAATATGTTTGGCGGCAAGGAAGGCACATTTCATCTTTCTCCTGAATGGAAACCTGTTTACTTTGTCACACAGAACTCAGTTGAGGTTACTGGGAATTGAACTGGCTCCCAAATATGTAGTGTGACCTACGTTTCATTTAGAGTGGGATAAAGAGGTGGAAATTCAGAATTGGCTGGGGTGTGTGTATGTGTGTGATGTAATGACACTAATGTGTTCTGAAATACATAGCATTCTTTTAACAATGCATTGTTGCCCTTTAAATTAACATAAAAGGCCTTTGGCCTCCACATTCAGGGCTGTGTGTACTCTGCATTCTGTGCAAGCACCAGACAAGTGCAGAATTTGGTACGGGTGCAGAATTTTTCTTGAGACATCACCTTTCCTTTGTAAAATGGACTGTGGGTACTTGTGGACTGCCAGGGTAAGGTCTGAACAGTTAGCTCTAGCAGAGGTCTCTGAAAGGGGTGGTGAGGGGAGCAGGATTTCTAACAATTGGAGATGGGGCTTCCCTTGTGCCTGCAGAAGCATAATAGGTTGTGAGAATGAGCCAACCTAAGCAAATCTGCCTAACATACCTGTTCTATATATAGGTAGGCTGGCTTGGCTTTTCTTAGTACATAACCTAGCTTCTCTTAGTGCACAACTGTGATTTTGTTTTTAGCATGCACCATGTACAGCCTTGACTTTACTTTCCGTAAATGTGTTTCCCAGGGCTATATACACCTATGAGGATGACTCTGACAACCTGAAACTGGCTGCCTCAGGAAGTGAGTATTCTCTCTCTCTCTCTCTCTCTCTCTCTCTCTCTCTCTCTCTCTCTCTCTCTCTCTCCCCCTCCCTTCTCCTTTTCCCTTCCTGTTCCTTTGAAATCAAATACTCTTTTGCTTCTTCAGCCCTGGCAGTTTTCAGTCTCAGCAGCTGTGTCCCCCCCAAAAAAATAACCCACCACCCTCTGTCTCCTTTTTTCAGGAAGAAGGAGTCAAACCTAGCATGGTGTTTCATTAGGGAATTAGGTGACCACGCCTTATGGCCATGCCCAGAAGGCTGAGGGAGTGTTTTCAGCCTTATAATATGCTCCTTCCCCATCCAGAAAAGGCAAATGGAGTCAGAGACCTGACTTGTGTCCCACTTGTGTGTTTCTGTCTTTCCCCAGCTGGTGGCCTGCAAGAGCTCTCCAGCCATTTTGAGAACCAGAAGGTGATGTATGGATTCTGCAGTGTCAAAGACCCACAGGCCACCCTACCGAAATACGTTCTTGTCAACTGGGTAAGGCTATTTCCAAATGGAATAGGGGACGGGGGTTGTACAGAGGGCGGGGTGTCTTTTTTTTAAACCTGAAGTAGCCTTTCCTGTCACTGCAGTCCTTTAATGGGGGAGGGGGCCACCAGATGAAATTTTCTCTTCTGGACAGTTCCTACAGCTACAGGGTCTGGATTGGGCAATCTTACGAAGACTAGGTTTGAAAATGTGCTCAGGTTGAGTTGGTTGGTACTCAAGACTGACATGATGCGGAAGGCTGGAGGTTGTGTCTCAACTTGAAGGTCAATTCATGCATGACCTTTTTCTCACATGAAGATAATCTCTGTGTGGGGAAGGATATGTACGTGCCTCGTTATTTGTGAAGGAGGGCATGAGTCTTTATTGTGCTATGAGAACAGGCACATAAAATGCAGGGCTGGGGAGAGAGTGACCCTTCTAGGAGAACTCGTGCACTGGACCTCCATGCATTTGACTATACTGCCCTCTAGTGGAATTAGTTTTGTCGTAGTCATTGATTGTGTTTATACCGTAAACAACCACTGACTGTTCTCACTTATTACCCTCCCTTGCTCCACCAATAATTGCTTTGCTTTGGCTTGGCCTGACTCCCATTTTTGCTAGTGAGGACCTTTAAACATTTGTTTTGTTTTGAAAGGAACCTTTTGCCAGAAGTTTACTCCCCCCCTTAAATTGCACTATACAAGTATGCTCAAGATGTATTACAATATAAAAGAATGTACCAAAGTATAACACAGTAAAAGCAAAATAAGCCGCAGAAATTTAAAAAGACAGGTACTTGAAAAAAATACAGACTAAAAGTACAGGTCTGGTATCAAAGACTTCATCAGGGGTCTGGACACTGTAAATGTCTGTTTCCTTGCTGCCAGATCTAAAATTCAGAGTGTTACATTTAAGATGGATTTCAATGCGTTTGCATTGTGTCCCCCACATTTCTGTCTGGTTGTGGAGTGTGGGTGACAGCATTAGCCTGGATGTGACAGAGAAGGGAAATGAGTTTGTACGTGGCCACAGTTCCACAGATGTCTGAATCTCCCCTCAAAAGGGAGGGGCTGGTGGGGGAGAGAGATCTACTATTTTATGGCTGGTGGCCATAGCAAGAACTCCCGTGCTTCCCCTCAACAGCAGGACCTGCTGCAGAGAAGTAGTTGAAGATGTACTTTTCTGGTTCCCACTTCTTTCAGGGGAAGACTGGGTATTAAGGCTCTGGATCTTGGGGTAAAGCAGTGGGCACTTGGTGGGGGTGGAGGTGTACCTCTGCTTTTCTGGCACAATGGTATGGCTGTTTTTCTGCAGCTGGTCCAAAAATCACCAAATAGATCACTGTGTTTACTCTCAGTTCTGGATTTTCTTTTTTTTTTGAACAAAACTTTTATTTTTTGGATATAATATCACATTTAACATTGGCTTTCACTTATCCAATACCCATATTTCCCTTTCCCCCCTCCCTTGCAAGTGGCTTCCCGCAGTGCTCAACCCTTTTTCCCTTTACAATACTTATATTTGCTTAACCATTTTAAAATTGCTTAGATGTTAAAGATAACACTTCTATCAATATGGTTCTAAATACAATAAATTGTGTTTAACATCCCAGTTTTCCTCTAGAGAGTCTTTAAAATCTTTCCAATCTTCAAAAAATTCTTGATCTTCTTTGTTACTCAACTTTCTTGTTATTTTGTCCATTTCTGCCATAAATAACACTTTTTGTATCCAGTTCTGGATTTCCTGTGTGCTGGTGCCACCTAGGACTGTGTTGCTGCGCTTGCTGCTGCTATTGCAAAGCGCTGACAATTCCTGTCTCTCATGATCCTTAAACTTGACAGGTAGGAGAAGATGTAGCTGATGCCCGCAAGTGTGCCTGTGCCAGTCATGTAGCCAAGGTTGCTGAGTTCTTCCAGGTCAGTGACAGACTTTGGGGGAGAGGATACGCAGATGCAAATGGGGGGTGGGGGTGGAGGCTGCTGCTGTTACACACAAATGTCAGGGCAGCAGCAACTGAGTTATATCGTTTGGAAAGGGTGCTTGGGCTTTGTGAAAGAAGAGAAAATGTTCCATGACTGTGCTAGTCTGAACTACCATCTTCCTGGGCAGCTAGCTCAGTTCCTTGTGCCAGAAGATACGAGCCTCAGTTTCTGTGATTTGAACGTCTGACCCAACAGGGCGTGGATGTAATTGTCAATGCTAGCAGCGTGGAAGACATCGATCCAGGAGCCATTGGGCAGCGGCTCTCTAATGGCTTGGCCCGCATCGCGAGCCCGGTGCTGCACCGTCTTCGCTTGCGCGAGGATGAAAACGCCCAGCCTGTGGTAAGACTCCCTGCTTCCTCTTCATCAAGCCACCCTCATGTTCCCTTTGCCTTGGCTGGAGAAGGAAAAGAAAGAGCAGGTTGTGGGCTTTGGCAGAAGTCAGTTTTGTGTTTAGAATGCTCATCAAATCAACATCTGCTGGTGGTCCCAGCCCAAATGACATTTACTTAGCCTCGACCGGCCTGGTAGAACACTCTCCCAAGAGAGATCCGGGCCCTGCAAAACTTTTTACAGTCCCACAGGGCCTGTTAAACGGAGATGTTCCACTAGGCCTTTGGTTGAGGTGGTGGAGGTCTAATTACATTGGCTGCCCCTGCTCTACCCTGCTTGCACTATTTTATCTTGTGCTATTGGTGGTGGCTCCGCCCACTTGCCCTGTATCTGGTTCATCTTGGGCACACAGGCAATGTAGACATTTTGGGAGCTCTGGTTAATTTGTGCCAGATCGCTATTTTGTGAGTTCTGTCATCTGGTTGTATAGGTTTTAATACTCTATGAACTATTGTTTTAACTGTTTTAATTGTTCTATTTATCTGTTTTAATTGTTCTATTTATCTGTTGTAACCCACCCTGAGCCCCTCTGTGTAGGGGAGGGTGGGCTAGAAATTTAAATAAATAAATAAATGTAAAGGCAGTGTGAGGTTGCATATGTCACTGCATGGTCACAGGTGAACACCATAACCCTTGCTGTAAGAAGCTACACTCTTCCATGAAGAATTTCTTGCCCATTACACCCCCCCCCCAAAAATGTTATTATTCCATTTATTTACTTCATTTATATCCTGCCTTTCTCCCCAGTGGGTACCCAAAGTGGCTAACATCATTCTTCCCGCCTCCGTTTGTATCCTCACAACAACCCTGTGAGGTAGGTTAGGCTGAGAGAGTGTGCCTGGCCCAAGGTCACCCAGCAAGATTCCATGGCAGATTGGGGATTCGAACATGAGTCCCCCAGATCCTAGTCCAGCACTACTACAACTACACTACACTAGCTGGGAATGCCAGTGAGAACCAGAACCTAGGCTTTTCGGTAGGGTCAACAAAGATCTGCTGTCTGTAATATGGGCAACTGCACACACCCTGACTTGACATCATCATTCCAGGGTACAACCTATCAGAAAACTGATGCAGCTGTGGAGATGAAGCGACTCAACCGGGAACAGTTCTGGGAGCAAGCCAAGGTAGGTGGACTGTAAAGAGCCCGGCCTGGGGGCAAGACATTTGGGCACAAGACCCTGTTGGGCTGCATCCACACACACATCGCTGGACACTGCTCCTTTTGTTGTGCTATAGCGATCATTCCCAACTGAATTGTTTTGTCTGCATCAGAAAATCCAGTTGTGAATGAAGACTGTAGGGGGAACAGCGTCTGGTTACAGAGATGCACAGAGGATCCTGGCTTTCTTTGTCCTCACGCCCTATACAGTGGCGGCACGCTGCTAGGCAGGGCTGGCATCGATGGTGTTTCTTGGTCTCTTGTAGAAAGAGGAGGAGCTGCGCAAAGAGGAGGAACGGAAGAAAGCCCTGGATGAGCGGCTGCGCTTTGAGCAAGAGCGCATGGAGCAAGAGAGGCAGGAGCAGGAAGAGCGAGAGAAGCGCTACCGGGAGCGAGAGGAACAGATCGAGGAGCACAGGCAAGGGGGCAGCCTGGGTGTCTGGCAAGGGGGTGGTGGGGAAGGGGACACAGGAATCATAGTCAGGCCAGGGCTCTTTTTGTAGATAAAGCCCAGCAGGAACTTATTAGCATAATAGGCCACACCCAATGACAGCATGAGCGAGCGATTTGGCTGCTGCATAAATTAGTTTGCTCTGGAGCCATCCTTCCTGAGTGAAGACAAAAATCTGTGAGCCGGAGACTAAAAACATGTGAGCTAGCTCACACTAACTCAGCTTAGAGGGAACACTGGTCAGGACTGAATGCAATTCGAGCACAGGGTTATGGGCAAGCCAAGAAAGACAAATCATTCCACAGCGCAGGGCCAGCTGTGGGCCTACTGCCCCCTAATGGTGTCATGTGTTAGGTCTGAAATATGATGAGCTGAAATATGAGCTGTGTGTGCATGTGTGCGCTTGCGAGCCTGGAAGTCATGGTGACTTCTGGCGACCCCTAGTGGGGCTAGGACATTTCAGAGAGGTGGCTTAATATTGCCTGCCTCTGCATCCCAGCCCTGGTATTCCTTGGAGGTCTCCCATCCAAATACTAGCCAGGACCGGCCCTGCTTAGCTTCCGAGATCTGATGAGATTGGGCTTGCCTGGGCTATCCATGTCAGGGCAAGGGTGTTTTTGTTTTGTTTTGTCCTGTCTTTTGTTTATTTTGTCTTGATAAGATGCCTGCCAATTTCCTCGGGTCAGGCATGTCCTAGGACCTCATTTCTGTGTTAAAGAGGTGCCATGATTCTACTGGTTAATATAAGGGTGTCCTTCTGCATTAGAAGAGCACTGGGGAAGAAAGTGACTTTACTGGCCGTGTGGTGCTCCTTGTTATCCGGCCTATGCAAAGGGCTACTCTGTTGCTACAGAATATTGTGTCTCCAGGTCCAAAGGCCACCCAGCAAGTTTCCGTGGCAGACGGGGGATTCCAGCCTGGATCTCCCAGATCCTAGTCTCACACTCTAACCACTACACCACCCTGGCTACTGGTCTTTTTCTGCAGTGGGTTTGTATGTTCTGTGTTCTGTGGTGCACTCTTGCAATAGTGAGATCCCAAAGACTTGATAAACACCCTGTGCACATGCTGGAACACTTCCTAGAATCCTCTACAACATTACAGAGCCTTTGTGTTAGAAGTGCAGGAGTTCCTGGGCAGACAATTTGGTTTAGAAAGGATTCCCTGTAGCTACAAAGTTTGAAGATGCTCTGGGTCAGTGGTGTGACTTGGCTTAGTCTTAGCCTCCTTTCCTATTTAGATTTGTTCCCCTAGTGAAAAGATTCTCTCTCGTTTTCTGGGACATTGCTGATGCAATGATGCAATTTACATTAAGGATTTTTTAGGATGGGAAAGTTGGCTCCTTTGATCAAAGAAGCAGTAGTTTTTAAGTGGCCTTTAAAAACTGATTTGAAGGACTATCAAAAGGATAGACCAGATAGGTCCTGTGCCATTTGCTTCGTATTTATTTGCATGCATGCAGGGTGATTTTTATTGTTTCTTTGGATTAAAGGGACCGCTTTAGATCATAGGAGACCTTTGTGTGTGTGTAGAATGGCCAGTGATAATTATTAAAAGATGACAATGTTTATGAAGTGAGCCATTTAAATAGGAGTGCTAGTGGGGAAAGGGTAGGTGGGCTGAACCCAGCCTAGATGGGACATTTAAACATACATGTGCTTTCTTACTCTCTGGTAGATATCTAAGGGAATCAGGTAGGCTGAAAAAAAGTGCCATTTTCAGATGCGATTCTGGTTGAATTTGAAACAAGCACTAAGTTAGGACAGGATGCCGATACTGAATGCTAGGATCAGAAATGAGAATAGCCCCGGTGCACCAGATATAACTGGTCTGCAGATAACAAAGTAAAAATGTAATAAAGATTGGCATGTGAAGTGTCGCACATAGGAAAGGAAAATCAAATGTAATTATTTAAAAACCAGAGACAAGAAATGGGATACAATATAAAAAGTGATGTTCTTACAAAAATATGCAGGGATTTTGGGGGGACATATGAAAAGATTTGTTTCTCAAACCCAAGATACAGTGGTTCTTGGATCACTGCTTATATGGTAGCAGGAA